TTATGGGGCGGGGTATGACTGGGGCTCGGGGGTCTTTGGGGTGATGGTTTTTTAGAGGGTGGGGTATGACTGGGGCTCCTCAGGGGTCTTTGGGGCGTTGGTATTTTATGGGTTGAGGCGAAGATTGAAAATAGATTTTACGTGGATTAAAAATAAATTTAAAACATGTAAAAGTTTGAGAATGGATAGAAAATGGGTTTAAAAGGCTGAAAATGGATTGAAAATAAGATTTAAAATTCTTGAAATGGATTAAAATAGACTAAAAATGGACGTAAAAGTTTGAAAACGGATTGAAAACAGAGTAAAATATTGAAAATGGATTAAAAAGAAATGAAAAATGGATTTACAAGATTGAAAATTGATTTTAAGTGGATTAAAAATAAATTTAAAGGGTGTAAAAGTTTGAAAATAAGATTTAAAATCCTTGAAATGGATTAAACATAGACTAACAATGGATGTAAAAGTTTGAACATGGCCTGAAAATGGATTGAAAATGGGTTTAAAAGACTGAAAATGGATTAATGAAAAATGGATTTAAAGTTTGCAAATTGATTTTAAATGGATTAAAAATGAATTTAAAGGGTGTAAAAGTTTGAAAATACATTAAAAATAAATGAAAAATGGATTTAAAAGATTGAAAGTTGACTCGAAGTGGGTCAAAACCAAATTTAAAGGATGTAAAAGTTTGAACATGGGCTGAAAATGGGTTTAAAAGGTTGAAAATGGGCTGCAAACGGCTCGGACGTCAGATCTAAGACCGAGAACTGGCGTAAAAGGCACCGCACGCGGCTTTAGACGGGGTGTGACACCTGACACCAGACCAAGGTACACGGAAAGAGGCCGAAGGGCATCACAGGTGAGCAAAGTATTTCAAACCTGGCTAAAACGGGCACTAAACGCTTCCCCCAGCTGCTGGGGAAGCGGGGAAAAGGGCTGCGCTGCCTCCGGAGCGGAGGCCCGGGAATGAACCCCTCGGGGCTCCCACAAACCAGGAATTACCAGCGGCGCCACCAAATTCCAACCCCCAGGGCGGGACGTGACCCACAGGTCAATCGGTGCCCAGGGTAATTCACCCCCTTCCTCAGCACGGGGCGCCCCCGCCTCGGCCTCGCTCCTGAGCCTGGGAAAGCCTCACCGGAATAAGGAGAGAAAAGGGGGTTTGAGGCAAAAAGGTACCTTGAGGTTTCCTCTTCTTCCGCAAGCAGGAGGTGACGTACCGCTCCAGCTCCCGCAGGGTGGAGGGTTTCAGCGTCTCGAAGTCGATCTCGATCTCGTCGGGATTGGAGTTCTTCAGCGAGGGTTCTCGCGACTGGATGATATGGACGACGCGGCCCAGCTTCTCCCCGGGGAGTTTGTTAATGTCCAGGCTCAGCTGCCGCTTCTCCTCGTAGGACATGGGCTTGCACTTCTCCTCCTCCTCCGACTCGTAGGCGGGAGGGGGTTTGCTGTTCTTCGCCGCCACCGGCTCCTTCTTACTACTCGGGAACAAGGGCACAGGTTACCGCAGAGCTCGGCGCCAGGCCAGAACGCGGCGCCAGGCCGGAACACGGCGCTAGGCCGGAATGTGGTGCCAGGCCAAAACGCGGCACCAAGCCGGAACGCGG